GCTGCTGCAGCGGATCATGACGCTGGTCGAGCCGGGCGGCGACGACCACAAGCTGACCCCTGCCTTCCTCCTCTGCCTCTGCGTCCAGCACTCGGCCACCCGCCTTGAGCCGGGCTCGTTCGGGCAGCTCCTGCTTAAGATAGCCAAGACGATCCGCGAGACAGTCTGGGTCAGTGGCGGGGCCTGGGCGGCTTACTGTCTGGGTGCCTCAGCCGTAGGGGGACAGGCGGGGGCTGTGGCTCCTGGGGTGGACGTGGCGAGCTCCACCTCTGACCCAGACCAGCCTTCCTGCCTGTCTGCACTTCCCTGCCCACCCGGCGGTCAGGAGGCAGGACCACCGAGGGAGCCCGGGGTCTTGGCTGTGGCCCATCACCCTGTGGGGTCGGCCATGGCTCTGTAAGCTCTGGTCCCATGTCCCTCCCCTTGGCCTGGCCCAGCCCTGCCAGCCCCCAGGTGGCCTGGGTGCCCCCCGCTTCCTCCCCCTGCTAACAGCCCCTGCAGATCCCTTGTCAGGGGTGATGGGGCCAGATCTTGTCGACGTTGTGGACTGAAATATCCCCCAGAACGGTCTCTGGACTGCAGCGTCTTGCAGGTCCAGGCAGAATTCCTTGCTGTGGGGCCACCTGTGTGCTGTGGGGTCTTGGGCAGCATCCCTGGCCTCCCCCACTGCGTGTGGGTAGCACCCCTCCCCTCCCCCCACACTCCAGGCACTACCACGCAGCCCCTGGGTGCGGGAGCACCAGGTGGGCCTCGTGCCTGGGCGCAGACAGCCTGTCCGCAGGGCCAGAGCCAGCGCTGCAGTCCCGCGCGTTCAGTCCCCCCACCCTCTCCTGCCTCTCCATGGGCCGGACTCCCTAAGACCTAAAAGATGGCTGGTAGTCACACACAGTCCTTCGGAGAGACCCCCTTAGGCTTGGTCATGACGGCCCAGGGAGAGCAGGTCCCTGAGGCGCAGCGCCACGGCGCGGCCCCCCACCTCCAAGACGTGAGGAAAGGGAAGCACTGGGCTGTGTAGACACCGGATAGATCCCTCAGATTAAAACCTACCTTAAAATGTTGCAACTTTTAAAACGTAAACCATTGTGGGCTGCCACACCCAAA